GGATTTCGGTGTTTGATTTGACGTGGAATGCCCCATCATTGGGATACGTCAGGAGGCGGCAGGGTGGACAGCTGTTCAGGCCCCGGTGGATAAACAATGACTGCTCTGGATTGGAGCGGCTTATGGGGCCGAGAAATCAAGTTTAGGATTTATGGAGAGCGGGTATGTGACTGTAGATATATGGCCTTGGACTGTAGTCTCGTCTGTTCTGCGGAAGAGGAATGGGTGGAGCTTTTCCAGGAAAGTTGGTGGGGCAAAAAGTTGTCAAACCTACAATGTCCGATTGTTAAGTTAGATAAAATTCAACAATGAATCAATTCTTTTCATTACAGAGGTAATATTTTGCATTACACAGACATTTCAAAGCTCCTCAATGCGAAAAACGTAGGTTTGCTAAGCAGTAAAGTCCTGCAAATCGGCTTAAGTTGGTGGGGCAAAACGCTTATTGGTGGGGCAAAATGGCAAGTTGGTGGGGCAGGCGCCCCACCAAGTGAATAGGAAGCTCCACCCCTGGCGAAGAGGTTGTGCCGATTTTGCTGCTAATTTTGAAGGGTAAGGAATATAACTCATTGAGATAAAATGCTTTTCCTCGTTTTGGTCGGTATCGTGCTGTTACATAATCTGGGGTTCGACGATTGCATTCTTTTTTAATTCAAAGCATTACCCCGGCCTGTCAATCAATGACGAGTCGTGACATTCACCTGTCGATTTTAATCCGAGCACCTGCTGATTTGTCACCCACTAGCTGACGGTGATGGGTCTCTCTCTCTCCCTCTCTCTCTCTCTCTCTCTCTCTCTCTCTCTCTCTCTCTCTCTCTCTCTCTCTCTCTCTCTCTCTTCTCACTCCGTCCTCTCTCCCTCTCCCTCCCTCGATCGCTCACTCTCTCTCTCTCCCTCCCTCACTCTTTCTCTCCCCTCTCCCTCTCTCTCTCTCTCTCTTCTCTCTCTCTCTCTCTCTCTCTCTCTCTCTCTCTCTCTCTCTCTCTCTCTCTCTCTCTCTCTCTCTCTCTCTCTCCAGAACGTCTGCAGAGCTCGGTGCGGCTGTTCTCTGCCCGAGGCACCACATCCGGTGACGCGGCCGGTCATACCCCTCGCCTCGCACGGAGAGGACGGCGGGCAGAGCGTCGGAGCGGCGGCAGAGTGCGCGGAGAGAGCTGGACAGGGCACCAGGTGACGGGGGGGGGGGGGTACAGGGTGGGGGGAGGGGTGGACAATATACAGGGTGGGTGGGACAAGGTGTAGGTGGGGCGGAGTGAGGAGAGGGGGTGAACAGAGCTCTCGTGAGTAACTAAGGTAGCGAGAGATTTATGTAACTGAAGTGTTATGTAAAAACGTGTCGTACTTTTGTTGCAAGCACATTTCACTGATGATAAGGCTACGCCGGGCTACTCAAGTAATAAGGTTCACCTTTCACGAAGGATGTGGCTGCACGAATGATAAACCATGCCTACCTTTCACGAATGAATCTGGATAGGTGGTTCTGAACTGTACTACATAGTACACACCATACTCCTACACGGCCCACCGACTGTACCCCTTTCACCTACCTACACTCGGACACCCCCCCCCCCCCCGGTCCGCCGTCAGACTCGACGGACACCCCCGACAACAGACGTCTCCAGCGACGCGTCTCCGACCGTCATCGAGTACCGCCACGTCGACACACTGCCGGAGCAGGTGCAGCACGTCCAGACGGCCCGATTCCGTCTCCAGTACGGCCGCTCGGTGCTGGAGCACCTGGAGGGGATCGGCACCGACTGGCTGTGACCGGCCGAGGCCGTCCAACGACGCCGATGGAGGACGGACCGTCCGACGCCCGCAACGGTCGGTGTCTACTGTCACTCAGTTGTGTTGTGTGTCGGTAGTGCATCAGGTGTGGGGCATTATTCGTGTCGTTTATTGCGGGTAGTCGGGTAGACGTACTCGTATTTAACCATCGCACTTACGGGGGAGGGGTCGAACGGACCCCCCCTCGGTTTTTCGCAAGCTTGCGCAAAAAGCGAGTGATTGCGACGAAACTTTCAGTACATTCGAGTTGATCAATTTTACACATACCTACTCTGAAAATTTCATGACTCTGACCCAAATGACCTTTGACCTGTGACCTGATTCTCCAGACCATGTCTGGCCAGAATCGCGATTTGGCGTATATCGGCTCACATTACCCACGCACTTTGTCTTTTTGTGATTACGGAGCGAGCGAAGCGAGCGTAGTCTTTCCTTAGATTAACGGAAATTTCTGAGTATGAGCGGCCGGCCGGCCGGCCGTGGTCACGCTTTTGCGAGGCTTATATCTCAGCAACCACTCGACCGATTTACACGCGGTAATTTTTGTAGGGTAGCTTCATTCCTTCTACCAAGTATTGGACTATTCCTGATGCATGTGGGTGACCCCTTATGCACGTGCCACGTGCAAAACGAAGAGGTGTCCGTTTTGTAATTGTTGCAATATCTCGGTAACTGCTTGGCCGATTGTGCTGAAAGTTGGCATGGAGGTAGGCACCCACTAGGCACTGCATATCCATGTGCCAGAGTTGGGGTGCTGCTGCACGTGCGCACGTGCAGGGGTCGTTTCCAGATCTCGAGAACGGCTGGACCGATGGCGCTCAAATTTGGTACACGGTTAGGAACCAGTTAGTAGGGTGCCGTCAGCCGTGCACAAGTCAGTTGGGACCCATTTTGCACGTGCGCACATGCAGGGTGCCGCTTCCAGATCTCGAGAACGGCTGGGCCGATTGTGCTCAAATTTGGCACATCGCTAGAGACCGGTTAGTAGGGTGCCGTGCACAAGTCAGTTGGAGGTACCCCCTCGCAAGTTCGCACGTGCAAGGCCCACCCTCTCGCTCGCTCCGTTAGTCGCCCCAAAAGGCGTTATACTGGTTGTAAGCGGTTCAAACATGTGAAATGATGTTGGTCCCATGCATTTTTGTGGGTGTCAAGGTCACGTGAGTCAGGTCAAGGTCACTGAGCTTTGATGACCTTGGTTCACTTTTTTCACCATCTGGTCTACAGCCACTTCTCACAGCTGCCATCTGACCCCCCCCCCCCCCTCCCCCGGGACAGGGACGTGTAACTTGTGCGGTAAGGACGTCAAGAACCTAAAGATGCCCTTCCGAGGAACACACGACTCCGACTGGGGGCGTTCAGAGCCGCTGGTGGACGGGGACGGAAAACTGGACAGCGTGTCGCTGGCAGGTGGGTGCTGCACCCCTGGGGTACAACTGGTGGGTGATGCACCCCTGGGGTACAGCTGGTGGGTGCTGCACCCCAGCAGTCGCAATATAAGGAATAATCGAATACTGACAGCTGGAAGATTTCTCGGCGTAGCTGCCATCTGGAAAAACTAGTCTCAGTTATTATAGAGTCTCAACTCAATATTATAGAGTCTGGTACAATCCTCATGAACTGCAGAACCTTCCTACTGACGGCATTTTGTAGCTTCTGACTTTATTATGTTGTTTGAAAGGGTGTCTCCGAGGTGCGCTTTTTTTCTTGTGAGCGTCAATGTGGAACGTCTAGATATGTCACAATCACGCTGCGTTTAATACAGGGCCTTTTCTGAGGAATTTTCACTGGGGGGAGGGGGCAGAGACTGAAGGAGTCAAACCTCGGGTACCCCCAAATCCTGTTTTCTCTCCGGAATTAGGCCACTTGTTTTTCGTCACAGCCCTGAGACCATGATAAAAAAAAAACAGGTAATCCGAGCCATGCTTTAACCCACGCCCGTATGGGGGGGGGGGACGGACCCTTCTCGGTTTTTCGCAAATAACTCGAGGGTAAAAAGCGGCCGATCGCGACGAAACTTTCTTACCCTCGCAGTCGCGATTATCAATTTTACGCCTACCCTGAAAATTTGAGGCCTCACCGCACTGTCTGTTTACCCTCCCCCTTCCAGCCGGGGAGGGAGGGGAGGGGCGCTTCCCTGACGGTTTTTTCAGGACTTAACGAGACGTACCGGCGATTGAGAGCTGAAATTTAGCACACCTAACATTTGAAACAAGCCGGATCGTTCGACATAAACTGCATTTTCAGGTCAGGTCATTGACCTAGGACGTCACAAGTGAACCTCTGCACGGTCCTAAAATGTCGCAGTTGCAGCGCCCTCAATGCTCGAGGAGCTTACACAAGGTGATGACACTGACAGGTCCCAGTAGACGTGACGCAGCACATGGCCGCACCAAACACCGCTCGCACGGAGAGGACGGCGGGCAGAGCGTCGGAGCGGCGGCAGAGTGCGCGGAGAGAGCCGCACAGGGCACAAGCTGAGGGAGGGGGGGTACAGGGTGGGGGGGAGGGGAGGGTGGACATTATAAGGGTGGGTGGGACAGGGTGTAGGGAGCGGTGGGGGGGGGGGGGGGGTGAACAGAGCTCTCGTGAGTAATGTTGTGAGATATTTATGTAACTATAGTATTCTGTAAAAACCTGTCATACTTTTGTTGCGAGTACATTTCACTGATGATAAGGCTACTCAAATAAAAATAATTAGGTTCACCTTTCACGAAGGATGTGGCTGCACGAATGATAAACCATACCTACCTTTCACGAATGAGTCTGGATAGGTGGTTCTGATTACTGTACTATGCAGTACACACCATACTCCTACACCACCCACCGACTGTACCCCTTTCACCTACCTACACTCGGACACCCCCCCCCGGTCCCCTTCCTCCTCCCTCCTTCTCCCTCCCTCCCTCCCTCCCTCCTCCCTCCCTCTGTCTCTCTATCTATTCCCCTTCCTCCCTCCCTCAGGACGTCTGCAGAGCTCGGTGCGGCTGACCTCTGCCAGAGGCGCCACATCCGGTCAGGCGGCCCGGTCCCGTGACCGACAGACTCAGCGATAAACATTTGCAGTGGCCTCTGCAGTAATTCGGTTGTTATTGGGCCGATGGCGCTGAAAATTGGAATGCACTTGGACACCCGCCGGGCAATACATTTCCATGTGTCACGGTTCGGATGTCACGGTTTCATGTGCCCCCCCCCCCCACGGTCCGCGCCGAGTCGGCGCCGTCAGACTCGACGGACACCCCCGACAACAGACGTCTCCAGCGACGCGTCTCCGACCGTCATCGAGTACCGCCACGTCGACACACTGCCGGAGCAGGTGCAGCACGTCCAGACGGCCCGATTCCGTCTCCAGTACAACCGATCGGTGCTGGAGCACCTGGAGGGGATCGGCACCGACTGGCTGTGACCGGCCGAGGCCGTCCAGCGACGCCGATGGAGGATGGACCGGCCGACGCCCGCAACGGTCGGTGTCTACTGTCACTCAGTTGTGTTGTGTCGGTAGTGCATCAGGGTGGGGCGTATTCGTGTCGTTTATTGTAGGTAGTCGGGTAGAAGTATTGCACGGATTTAACCATCGCACTAAGGGGGGAGGGGTCGAACGGACCCCCCTCGGTTTTTCGCAAGCTTGCGCAAAAAGCAGCTGATTGCGACGAAACTTTCAGTACATTCGAGTTGATCAATTTACACATACTCTGAAAATTTCATGACTCTGACCCAAATGATCTTTGACCTGTGACCTGATTCTCGAGACCATGTCTGGCCAGAATCGCGATTTGGCGTATGTCGGCTCACATTACCCACGCATTTCGTCTTTTTGTGATTGTAAGCGGTCAAACATGTGAAATGATGTTGGTCCCATGCATTTTTGTGGGTGTCAAGGTCACGTGAGTCAGGTCAAGGTCACTGAGCTTTGATGACCTTTGTTCACTTTTTTCACCATCTGGTCTACAGCCACTTCTCACAGCTGCCATCTGACCCCCCCCCCCCCTCCCCCGGGACAGGGACGTGTAACTTGTGCGGTAAGGACGTCAAGAACCTAAAGATGCCCTTCCGAGGAACACACGACTCCGACTGGGGGCGTTCAGAGCCGCTGGTGGACGGGGACGGAAAACTGGACAGCGTGTCGCTGGCAGGTGGGTGCTGCACCCCTGGGGTACAACTGGTGGGTGCTGAGCACCCCTGGGGTACAGCTGGTGGGTGCTGCACCCCAGCAGTCGCAATATAAGGAATAATCGAATACTGACAGCTGGAAGATTTCTCGGCGTAGCTGCCATCTGGAAAAACTAGTCTCAATTATTATATTAGGAGCTAAATAACACCGTTTCATGTTGCAGATTTTTAAATACTGCAAATTTTTACACACCCCTCATACAAGATCCGCTCACCTCGAAAAGGCTCTCCAGATTCTATGGTGTATGTATAAATCTACGGGGCAGATGGATGACGACGGGGTGGGGCAGCATTGCAACAGAGCAGTCGGGGACCACTGCAAAAGTTTATCGCTGAGTCAGTCGTCACGGGATCGGGCCGCCTGACCGGATGTGGCGCCTCTAACAGAGGCCAGCCGCACCGAGCTCTGAGCCCTGAGGACGTCCTGACTTTTTTTGTGGTGCTGGAGATCACATTTTTATTTACCATAGCTTGGTTATCAATATTCAATCAAAGCCACTGAGCTGATGCAACTTGTCCCTAATATTCTGTGTTAGTGTATTTGTCCCTCGTCTGAGACCGACGACATTCGGAGAGCTCGCCAGTGCTTATTGCCATTGGGTGTGGTCCATCGGTCCGCTCTGCTGTGGATTATTTCTGTACTGTCGGGTGGGAGCGTCCAGAGCCCGGGTAACTCTTCCTCGGTTATTTGTAAGTCTATGGTCCGAGTGCTGCAGAGCGCCGTTGGTTTCACCGCACTGTCTGTTTATTACTGTTAACCTCGTCGGTAGGATGGGTAGGGGGGGGGGGCGCTCCCAGAATTTTTCGGGACTCTATGGGACGCACCGGGCGATAGAGAGCGGAAATTTAGCTAGCTGATAAAGCCTAACATTTGATTCAAGCCGGATCGTTTGACTCAAACTTCATTTTCAGGTCGGGTCGGGTCACTGACCTAAGACGTCACAAGTGAACCTCTGCACGGTCCTAAAATGTCGCCACTTCAACGCCCTCAGTGTCCTCGGTGCCGGCCGCTGCCGCCGCGCCGTTCGTGCGTCATCCGACCCCACCGCCGCCGCCGCCGCCGCTCGGCGCTCCATGGATACGTGCCGTGAGTGAACAAATGGCCGGAGGTTGATGGTTGTGAGTGAACAAATGGCCGGAGGTTGATGAGTTGAGGGTTGTGAGAGGTGGGTGTCGACCTCTCCCAGCTTTGACTTGTATCTGGTGTGACACAGACTTTTCTATTTATAGAGAGATCTCTATATGGGTCATTTCATATGAACTCAACAACTGTGTCCTTTTTCATAAAGCCTGGACTTGTAGAATTGTAGTTGTAATTTGTAGGTTTGTACTTTCGATTGTACAAATATGTTTCTAAAATAAATTTTACAATCCGAAAGTACAAACTACAGGTCAAAGGTCATTGGGGTCAGGGGCATTAATATGTCGGGTAGGCTTAAATTGATCAACTCGAGGTAACCGAAAGTTTCGTCGCGATCCGCTGCTTTTTACGCGAGTTATTCGCGAAAAAAAAAAACGATGGGAGTGGTCCGTTCAACCCCCTATAAGGTTAATATCGAATTATTTTTTTTTATCTTTTTATGCAAGTCACTGCAGTTGGGTTCCATCATAATGTGATCTCATGCGTGGAGAATGATCAAAGGAAGAGGGCATGTTGATCCTGAGGAACAGATCGGATGGGTTATAAAATATGGAAAAGACTCCAACGGCGTTATCTCTGCTTCATACCCACCCTCACTATCGTCAGCACTGTCATCTGTCTTGTTCACAACTCACACTGTTTGTGTGCACGGCCCCGCCACTCGATGTCCGGCCGTTTCGGGTACTCCACTAGGGGTATACGGCCCCCCGGACTGTCCCTTTGAGTGGGTGGGTGTCTGTCCCACCGGGACACTGGTGGTCCCCGCCACTGCGACGCACCGTCGGTGGTCCGCCAGCCCAATGTCTCCCCATCCCCTCTCCCCTGAATGATCTGGACCGAACGGGCCCTGCACACCAAATCAAGCAAACTAAGTTGTGGCTGTGC